TTTAAGACTGTAGTGCAACTAGAAATTTTTTGCTGCTGGGGGGGGGGATAGTTATCATTAAATTAAGAAAAGTATTTAATTAAATTAATTAAAGTAAGTAAGTATTAATTAAATTTTATGTAAACTCAATAATTTGACCTCCCCCCCCTCTTCTGGTTGCACGCCTGCCTTAAGGACCCGTTTATTACGAGCACTCGGATTTAACGAGTACATGTTACGATCTCTTTGTGCTCGTTATAAACGAGTTCGACTGTAGTAAAAAAGTGCACGTAGAGGCATATTTATTGATTGCAGTCGCATTTTGCATATAAAAAATTATAAATTCTAATTTTCATAAATGAAAAATTTATAAACTTATTTACTGTCTTAATTTATGAAATTTTGAGGCTCACATATTAAAGCTTAATTAAATAAAAATAAAAATTATAAATCATATATTTTAAGAAAGAAAAACACCAACATTTTTTAACAATATTGTTAATATAGATCTAGATTTGTAACACAGATTTGGATTATTCTTGAGTATTAAAAAGAATGCAGCTTCGGGAAAATTATAAAAAATTTTATCTATATAAACACCAAATTTATGTTACAAGTATGTTTTGAATTGAGTAAACCAGAGACAAAACTTATTATTTTTGCTCATCATTGGCTTGAAATCGAGTGAATATATGCATGTTACGAAATTTAATTTTTTTTATATGTGTAAATATAAACCATGTTTGCCCTTAAAATCACATGAATAAGAACCATGATGTTTGATTTTTTAAATTGAGTGAAAATGAACAATTTTTGATTTCAAGATTGTGGAAATTCAAATGCGATATTTGATTTTTAAAACACGTTAATATAAATCACATAGAATATTTTATCTTTTTTTATATGTCTTTTTAGTGTTCTTAAAGTAATAGTTTTGTGTTTACATATTAGTATTTTGGTTTTGCTCTTTCTGTGCAGCTGTCAGATATATATTAACCTGGTTTATACCACACTGATTTTTTTTAAGGTTATATGCCACTGCCCTGCAAGTTTTTCCCATTTTCAGATTACGACCTTTTATGTTTTTGCTGAAACAAATTCTTGGCGACAATCATAAATACATAGTAACAGTTTGGCAAAGTGCAACATTTTTTATAAGCAGGGATGAAAGTACCAGTTAGCAAAAAAAGCTGAATTCTACATAAACGCAAACATTATGAAATTAATAAATGTATGGAGCTTAAAAAGCTTTGAAAAAAAGCTGAATTCAGAGTAAAAGCTGAAAACTTTCATGCCTGTATAAGTCAGGTGGAACGCGATTATGAAAAGCACGGAACGTATACTAGGATTTTACCCTATTATGAAATAAGGAGAGGAGCTCTAAACTTAGTTTTATTGCCTGGTTGAAAGATGTTTTTGGTCTACACAACAAAACTTCTGAAAATGGATTGCGCCAGATTTGGAACCAAATTCACTTAAATTATATAAAGAGGGAGAGACAAATCTAATAAAGACAATTAATTCAGAATTAGTTTTCTGATTGTCTCGTTTTTCTATTTAAAGTGATAGTCAATTTTTTGCTTTGTGCTTTTGACAATATCTAGTTATTGTAATACTTATCTACTTATAAAAATAAACATTTATAAAATTATTATATGCTATAAATATAACGGGGGGGGGGGGGAATTGAGTATCAATTTTTGACTAGTCTAAATAAAGTTTTAATATTACCCATTCACTGCAATGTTGGCCACAATTCTTGTACTGAATTGCTTGTTATACTAGATAAATGCATGTTAATATTAGTCTAAATTTATTATATTCATTTTAACTGTGGTCTAAAGATAATATTTGATTGGTAAGGATTAGAACCAAAATTATGTTTAAAACACATTTATATGTATCAGCAAACACATTTTACACAAAAAGGCATACATCTTGTTGAAAGATATGCCTAAATAATTAACACTATTGATGTTATTTGCTTTAGAGGAAAAGGTAAATTTAATTATAGTTTTAAATTACTTAATACTTCTTATGAATCATAATTTCAAAAACTAAAAAATATATTCTCCAACTCTAATAATTCTTCTAAAAACATACATTATTTGAGGGTCAAATTTCAAGGAAATGAGAAAAATGAGAACATAGCTTTGAAACAGTATTTTTCATGGAAAGATTATTTTAAAGATACAGTTATTGATTATTCTTAAGTATAGGGTTGTAAAGTTAACAGTTATGCAGTACCATAATTGCATAACTATTAATTTCATTCAGCCTACTGAATTTTGTACTTAATATATCATGATCTACACATTTATTACGAAGAAAAGCAATTTTTTTTCTTTAATTTTAAATGTGTAAGACTTACTACTTACCATTGGTTCATCTGTATTTTTCTGAAATTGTACTAGACGAACTCGAGTTACTGTTTTGGCTTCAGGACCAATTTCGGTTTCAATGCCTTGCACGCCATTGGCATATGGTGTAACAGGGGGAGGTGTGACATGAATTGCATCTTCACCATACACTTCTTGGGCAAGTACATCATGTGCTTGCAAAAGAGACTGAAGAGAAAAATATAATTCTTTAAGGACACTATGACAAACGTAAATGATTGATAAAAAATAGAAATTGAACACAAAGTAAGTTCTGTAGTAAACTTGGTAAGTCAAAGAAAAAAAATACCTCAAAGTTTTAAAATAATCAAGATTAGAATTATATGCTAATTCAAATCTGTCAATCTGTGTTTTAATTACCATATTAAAAAAAAAAAGGATGTGACAAATCACAGAAATAATGCTACATCATCATAAATCTATAGAAAATATAAAAATAATTTTTTTTTTTTTTTGAACAGGAAAAACTGCTTTACTTGATATATAGATATTTGATTTTAAATTTAAGCAGAATGGAAGTTTTTCTTTTGACAAAAAATTTCAAAGAATCAAAATGACAAAGCAGACTCAACTCTTGGTCCGCTTAAATTTTAGTGCTTCTCTTAACTTTCTTAATCACTTTAAAAAAGATTTTCAACAAGAAAATGAAAAAAAGGAAAATTACAAAGATTTCATATGAAAATTTGAAGTGCAAATTTTGTGACAGATGCTTATAAACAACATTGATTAGCATTTATCCCTTTGGTGTCAGTTTTATTATGGCAGAAATAATATAACACTTAACAGACTAATTTAGTCAATGAATACAAACAAAAACAAATTTGGCATATCAGCATTCGGTTTGATGCTTCGAGAATTATAACCATACATTTCACTTATGGATGTTTCAGTTATGCAAACATAATGTCAAAACTTCACCTTAAGTCTGAAATGGTATTTCCTCCCATTAGTAATGCAGTAATTTTTTACACAATGTGGATATTTTTAGCATCTCAGTATAATCATATTTTGTCCATTTCAGACTATAACAAAAATGGATAAAATAAATTAACACTACTTTAATTTTATTTCAATTTTTAACAAAATATCAGGTTAGAAATTATAAAATTTAATATAATCTATACAAACACGGTCATCTCCTACATATTAATCAATTTCTTAGATAGTGTTGTAATATTGTATTAAGCACTAGTGATAGAGACAGGAAAAAAATCAGGAGAATTTGAGGAATTAACCCAGAACATTGAAAATTTTGAAAATATAGCTTCCAGGTCATTTCCAAATTTGAATTAAGGGATGAATATTAGAAATGTAAATAAGTAGCTCATAAACAGTTTAATATATGGAATTTTATTTTCAATGAAATCTTTTTCTAAATATATTAGATTAAATACACATACAATCCTTTATTTTAAAGTGAATTTTTAATTCAATATTTTGTAATTTCATAAATTTGTTTTCAAAAAAATACTTAAAAAATACTTCTCACTCACAAAAATACATTTAAATATGAGAATAAATAAATCAGGGATGGCAAGTTTCTGTTAAAGTGGAAAACACCGCAAATTTTTTGCTTCCTTCTCGCTCCCGTGAAAATGACGGGGTGAGTTTTCGCTCGCTATTTCTCGCTCCCGTGATATTGACGGGCTGGAGTGTTCAGTAGTAATGAATGCACCAATAAGAATAAAACTAATTCATTTCTTTTGCCCGGAAAACATTTTATTTCTCATTTTACACACCATATAGCAGTACCAGGATATTTTTAAGGTAATTGTAAATAGTTAGTTTATTTTAAATTAGATACTAGCACTAATCAAATACGTGTATTCGGCAAAATAGACACTTTTATGACCGTTTTCTTGAAAATTAACCGATCGATAAGGGGTTAAGGTGGATGCAAACAGCCCTAACAATAAAAATAAAACCTATTAGAATTAACTTGAAAATAGAATGAATATAAATTAATATGTATGGTATAAAAGACGACAGCTCTGCCTGTTGGTGCAACTACCAGAAAAAATATGAACAAAAGATCTTAACATAACAAAACAAGAGTTTGACTAATAACCTCAGCAGAGTGACACATGTGAGTTGTCCATGGACAGAAGGTAACAACTTACCAGTTAATAATATGTTTTTCTTGTTTGTTACTTTGTGCTTTAGGAGCTGGGAATTCAAAGTTTCAAAAAATTTAATTTTAAAAGAATATCCAATTAACAAAAAAGATTTAAAAAATACAAGTCCATAATATTTAAAAGTATTCATTCTGAAAGTTAAAAAAATATACCGCAAACTTATTTGGCACTTAACAAAATATTCAATAAATTTTTATTCAATATTTTAAAAATTGTCCCCTTTAGAACATCCAGATAGTTAAGACATACTCAAGATATTAAAATATATATATATATATATATATATAACTACTAAAGAGTCATATAGGGTTTATTTGTTTATTTTAATTTAGAAGGTTGAATTGAAATATTGTTGCAAAAGTATGCACAAAATATTCAAACGTTCCACCTATGTGAATGAACTCAAAGCTTCATATACAATTCAAATTTCAAAATCAATTTTTAATAAACACGAAAATAAATAAAAAGCATCTCAAATTTAAAATAATTCGGCTTAAAAATAAATATTATGCTTCAAATATGCTTAAAAAAAATTTTTTTGTTTATAAATTTTAACTGCAAACATAACTTTGTGATCCATTCGCAAAATAACAATAAGCACCCCAAGAAATTTAATTTATCGCATGTTTTTAAAAATATAGCACTGCCTCTATTACTCACAGAATTCTGAAAAAAATTTAAATTACTAACAATTGTAGTAATTATTAACAACAAACTCGGAAAAGGAAAAACAAAAATTAACTTACATGCCCAACAACATTTGTTTTAGACATCGTACAGGGTGATTAACCAAGCACCTAAATGTTTATCTCAACAAAACAAAAGATTGTTGATCTCAGAGTGACAAATATATTTTTTGACACATGATGCAGATTTACTTGACACTCTGTAACGCCGACAAAATTGTACGAACTTAAAATATCTTAAGCATCCAATTACTTCAAATAATGACCTTCATTTACAATTAAAGAACCATAAAGTCGGGAAAAAGAATAAATATTACTCGAGACTAATTGATAATATCTCTTAATAATAGCACAATCAAACCAAACTGTAAAAAAAAAGTTAAAAACATTCCAAAACATATGTAAACAATGATAAAGTTTGCACTCGTGGCGCCATCTATTACTTTTTATTGAAGTGATTTAGAAAAAGGCCAAAATGTATGTCCTAGAACTTATTTATTGAAAAATAAAATAAACATATAATTTAATTAATCAATTCGATGTTGAAAAGAAACAAAACTGCTTCAAATTATTTTTTAATAAAGGGGGTTGCATCTATTTATACCTTTAATATATGTTTTTAAAAAAATAACAATGCAAAATTCAATAACTAGCAATAGGAATATTCTAAAAATAGCTAGATAAATATATTCTCAAAACAAATGCGTTTTCAAAGAACTCTAGAAGCAATAAACATTATAAATTGAAAATCATGATCAATTTATTAATAACAAAAAAATTATTGATTTATTAATTATAATTAATTAATACGATGGATTAGTTGTTAAAATAACAGCTAAAAAAATTTCTACAAGTATAAACAACCACCAAATAAAATATTTAATTAAATTATTACACACTCTCAAAATATATGCGTTTTCAAAGAAATCTAGAAGCAAGAAACGAAACTAAATTCATAATTGATTTTAGGAACTGTCCTGGCAACCTAGATTAACCCTGCAAATCTGTGAGATTAAATATCACAGCGAACAGAATATTAAATAAAATAAAAAAATTTAAAAAAAAAAAGTGTAACAGAAGAGAAAGAAAAAAATACCGTTAAATGAGAGAGGGAGAGAGAAATAATTTACAGGCAAACAATTTCTTTTCTTTTTTTTTCCACTTTATTTTAATTTTTAAATAATCCAAGTTATGAAGTTAAAATTGCAAATTCGAACTCTTGATTGCCATTTTGCAAGGTTCAGACATTTCGGACCCGGTTAATACTAATACAAGGAAGGCAGTCACGGGCCAAAACTATTCTGGCAGTGTTGCTAGATTGGACTACAAGTAACAGATTGGTCTACTTTTATAAGTTCTCACTACTGAAAATAAAGTTTGTTTCTCATTATTTTCTGAGTGCTACATATCATATCTTAAAAATGCTATACTCTTTCATGTAACTCGATTTTTGAAAAAAAAAATTTTTTTTTCATTAAGTAATGGCTGGTAACCATTTCAATACCTTTATTTGTGGTTTATTCACATTGTTTTGCTTTGTATATAACTGTATCTATGAGATACAGTCCCTGGCCAAATTATTAGACACACTATAAGATTCTAAGCAAAATCTTAATTATCAGGTGATACTATACTATTTTACTGTTTTTACGCGACTGAAAGCGGTTTGCACTAGTTTACGTTCGTGTATCAATTGGTTAAATTAAACGATATACAATATAAATTCGACAACTGGATAAATTACACAATATATTATATAAATATAGAATATTTATAATATCAGATATTATATTGGTATATTATAATAATTAGACCAAATTATTCGACGCACTGTAGTTTTTTAATAATTACATATATGTTTTGCATGAGTTTATATGCAATATCTTTATGTTTAAACATACATGTAATGGATTTTTATTCAGGAGATTCTTTATGTACTACCTATTTGCATTTATTTTTAAGGTATTGCATGACAATGTTAACCAATTGATACATGATTGTAAACAAGTGCAAACCAGTTTCAGTCGCGAAAAAACAATAAAACGGTGTAGTATCATATGATAATTAAGATTTCACATAGAATCTTATGATGCGTCTAATAATTTGGCCAGGGACTGTGTATGTAAACAACAATCTCGAGCTCTCGACCTGCTCTACTCCCAGTTATCGAGTATACAGTTTTCTACACGTTGCAAGCTCTTTACTGCCCATGGGGAGTATGTTTCTGGTGTATTTTGAAGCCATTTGGCTCTCAGCGTGATCATTGTGTTTCGAGACTCTTGAGTAGTATTTCTTGTATACATGTATTAGTCACCAGATTTATTATTGTTTAAAAAAAGAATGATTAAAAGAATCGTCATTTGATGATCTGTCATACCAAAACGTAAAAATGGATGGTTGACCGTGTAAAGCTATGTGCAGATGGTGCTAGGGGTTAAAATCCATCGTAAGACTTCAGGGTTACTACTTCCGACTGATTTTTACCCCTAAACTTGAAAAAACGCACCGTCCAATATTATTATACTTGCAGTGCTTTCAACATAATGTGTTCTTTTAACCAACTTCCAATGAAACAAACAACAAATAAATTCGCAAGACTCTGCAAGCTTTCTATGAGCATACCAAAAAAGTAACCAACAGCGCCATTTTACACAAATATTGCCAAATAAGGGATAACACTCAAAACATGGCTATACACTCTTTTTATGCTGTGATATAAATTTTGTTAAATTTGTTTTCAGCTAACGAACTGTTAGAATTTAAAAATTACAGAAAACACTTACGATAATAAAATAACGCATAAATTTAAATACAAATCACAATAATAAAATTTTACTAGAATATTAAGCCTGTTCACACAACGCCTCGTAAGCATAACATAAGCGGAGGGATATACTGGAAGTTTTAAAAATTTCTTCCAGTTATAGGAAGCTTGTTATTGTTTACATTCAGTCAACCATCCATACAAGAAATACTAAGTTTCAAAACATAATGATCACGTTGTGAGTCAAATGACTTCAAAATACACCGGAAAAAGTAACCCGGAAGTATAGGTAGTAAAGAGTTGGCAGTACACCCCAGAGTAGAAAATACCATCCATTGGGCACTGTCTTCTTTCCTTCAGGGGTAATTGTGAGCCCAACTCAAAAATCCGGAAAATTTTTTGAGTAAAATCATTAATGACAAATTTCAAAAATTAATATCTTTATATACTTAAATTATTGATATTTTCAAAACATGAAATTCCAAATAAATTATATGCAGCATAATTTAAATGGATAATTATGTATAAGATTACTTTTATGCAGGGCCGTAACTACGCCGGGGAAACCGGGGCACTTCCCCGGAGCCCCGATGGTCAAGGGGGCCCCATATGAAGAGACCACATCATGTTTTGTTTTTTTTTTTCGAAATAAAGCACTCTTATTATAGATATATGTAGGAAAGAAATTGTGTTAAGATAGAGTTGATGAAAATTTTCTTTTTTGTAATTGCGTACCTACTATAACATAAAAGAAAGGGTAAAAAACGGTAAAACACCTTTTCGCAAATTATTTCCCTTTCTTAAAAGAACAAACACGTTTTGCAGAGAAGGGGAAAGGCCACAGCTGCATGTAGTAGTTGATTGCGTCAGACCCAGTGGCGTGCCAACCAGGGGGAGGCAGAGGGCCCCTCTAAACGCATTGTTTGCCCCTCCTGAAATTTAGACACTCACAAAAATAAAGTCAAGTAAAATCAGTAATTTAAAAAAAAATATTTTTTTTCAATTTTGAAGCTATTTTTGAAATAGAAAACTTTATATTCTTATAACATTTATGTGCCTTGCCTCTTCTGATATTTAGTTATTCGCCAAGACGAAGTCTAGTAAAATAGGTAATTTTAGAGGGGAAAAAAATTATTCTTTCTCAGCTTTAAAGATATACATCAAGTTATTTTGTTATGGGCGATTAATATGTTTTTTGACTTTTGGAAAAGTAAAGTAAAAGTAGAAAAAGTATTTTATTTCCAATTTTTACTCAATTTTCTTCCGAAATAGTAATGAGGAGGCGAACATAGTGTTTCGCCCCTTCTGAAATTTCAAAGTGCTCAAAAATAGTAAAAATTGGTAACTAAAAAAAATGTCATCCTTGAATTTATTTTCCAAATAGAAAGCTATATTTTCTTCTGAAATAAAAGTGAGGGGGAGAAAAATTTGCTTCTCATCTTCTGAAATTTAGACATTAATAGAATAAAATCAAGTTGGAAATTTTAGAAGAAAAAAATTGTTTTGTTTCATAACTTCGACGATATTTTCCAAATAAAAAACTTCATTTTCCTCTTAAATTATAGTAAGGGGATAGAAAACTTTATTTTCTTCTGATATAAAGTAAGGGGGGCTAAAAAAAAATTTGTATATTCTGAAATTTAGACATTTAAAATAATAAAGTCCAGTAAAATTGTTTTTTTTTTTTTTTTTTTTTTTTTAAAAAAAAAAAACTTTGAAGCTATTTTCCAAAAAGAAAATTTTATGGGGTGAAGAATATACTTCACCCCTTCTGAATTTCAGACATTCGCAGGAATAAAGTCGAGTAAAATTTATATTTAACTCTTATTTTCGACTTTAAAGCTATTTTCCAAATCGATAACTTTAGCCTCCCCTTCTGAAAATTTGACATTCGCTACAATAAAGTAAAACAGAATTGAGAATTTCATAAAAAGAAACTACTTTTTTTTCTAATTTAATAGCTATTTTTCAAATTGAAATAGAAATCTCCACCCCCCCCCCTAAGAAAAATACTTCTGCTTTGTTTCAATTTTTTTCTACATATTACAACTTTTAATTTATTCAAAAAATTTAAAACAAAAACACGAAAAGAGAAGAGGAGCACATCATAAAAAAACATAACAAGAAAACTAAAGTAAGTCCCACTGTTTTGAAAGCATCTTTTAACTGTGGGTGGTATGAAGGTGTTAAAAACCTTCATACCCCCCACAGAGTTGACCCACTGTTATCTGACTCCTCAAAAAATAGCCATCTCCTTTTACACCATGGGAAAATGACCTTTTCTTTCTTTAAATTGCCTTAATCATTTTTATGACCCTGGGCTCTTTCGTGCTTTTATAAAATGTCATATATTTACAGTACCATCTATATGTCCCTTAAGTTGTCTTAAACTAGCTTCTAAGAAATCTTATCTTGATGTTCTAGGAAAACAGATATAAGCTTTTAAGGGATCCAAGGGAATGACTCTTGTTAACATTTATTTAGGTCATTTTGTCAAGAGGTTTTTTCTGAGACAAACGTAACACGTTGCAGTTAAATTCCAGTTTTTAACTCATTTAATTGCGTCATTTAAATTTACTATTTTTAATTCAGATATAAATTTTCTGTTACCTTTTGTTTTGTT